GTTCTTGTGTCTTCTTGGTCAATTCATTTTAATTTTCCTGAATCTATATTTCCTTATCTGTGAAATGGGGATGAGAATAGTCCTGTTGCAGAGATGTTGAGACAATTAAGTTCTCTGAATGGGTATAAAACATATATCATCACAATAAATCCTTAATAAATGGCAGTTATTATCGTTATTTGATTTGTAGCATTCCTTCATATCTTTTATTTGTAAAATTTTGGAGTGAAGCCATGTTATAATGTGGATGACTACTGAAAGTTTAAGACTCAATTTATCATTCTTAAGCCAAGAAACCTAAGATACAGAGATGTTAGGCTTGATTCCCAACTGGTATAGAAAAGTAGCTGTAGTAACTGTTTTTTAAGAATTCATTTTGTGCCATGAGATACAGGGTCCATTGCTTATGTTTGTAATGAGCCTTTTATAAGCATTTAGAAATTGGAAATCTGCAAGATGTCCTCTGTGCTGCATTTTATATTAAGTGAAAAACATATTTTGCATTTGATTATATTTCAGACCATTTGTGGAATCTAATGACTAAACGTTGAGACAAAGAATATCTGATCACACATGTTTAGATTTTTAAAGGGAAGGAGACTATAAAACTTTCTACTTTATACACTTGCCAGTATTCTTCTCAGTAATAAATACAACATAGTGAATTATGTAATGACTGTTTTTACCAACTAACTTTAACAGTTCTGATAAGACTTTTAAATCTTTTTTTTTAAACCTACTTAAAGTCTAAAGAATTTTACAAAGAGGTAGATGAACTGTTAAAGGTATTCCCAGATATATGCCCAGATATATATGACACTGAAATATAAGCTGCTTTCTGTTGGGATGGCAGGGTTACTGGCCTATGGATAGATCTGCTGCTGGCAAAGGTGTCCCTGTTCATACTATTGCTGTGTTGTTGGTTTGTTTTTTTTTTTATGGCCTAAAATGTTATTTATTTTCAATCTTCAATGATGATACTGAAGGATTTGGAAGAATGTTCTTTTATAGAGTTGAGTAGAATATCCTAGGTGACAAAATATTCTTATACCTTTTGGCCTACCCAAGTAGAAAGATAGGAAGAGAGTTTCAAATATGGTAACTTACCAACTTCAGTTGGTATCGACATAAAACTTTCTCCTGCTATGTTATTTATCACTAAGGGGATTTTAAATAGCAATAACAAGAATCATATACTTATTATATATTATGCTAACTGAGTCTTTCAAAAAGTTGGTTCACTTTGTAAAAGCATTTTGATTATATTGAGTTTTCATTCATGCATTTATGAAGCGTCAACTTCATTTAAGTTAATGAGGTATAATGGGAAGTTCACAAGTTTTCTGTGACGGTTGAATGCCTTTGAGTAAGGTTCTTATGCTTTTAGGCCTTAGTTTTCTCATTTGTTTTTTAAAACGGAGAAATACAATTTCATAGATGGAAAGGATTAAATGATATATGTAAAGTACATGGAACATTCTTTAAATTAGAGTAAGTCTTCTGTTAGGATTAATCTATCTAATTTAGCATTGCTGCTGCTTCTTTACAACCTACGCCTGCCGTTCATATCTGTTAGCACATCAAAATGTTTTTTCTAAATTATCAATTTTCTAATGGTTTCAGTGGGATTTGTGGTCTCCCCCATGCCACCATTACTTGATGGTAAATTGGTGGTAGGTTTATAGTTTCATAGATATAGTTTATAGTTTCATATATTGTCTTCATTTATTTGTTTAACTTTTTCTCCTAAATTTGTCTGGAGTTCTTTCTTGGAGCCCTCAGTTTTTTCCCTCAAAAGAGTAACGGGTTTGCCGATAACCCATCATTTCAAATTGTGTGGTTGGTGATGTTTCTCATGTTTCCTAGTGAACTTTTATGTGCAATGCATTCTGATTGCAGAGTGACACTGATTTCAGAGTGACAAGTTTCCCAGGATTCATTTCCTACTCTTCATATAGTGGCAGAATCAATCCTATAGTTTTTGGGTTTTGTAGCTCCTCCCTCTTCTTTGCCTTCAGTTCACTCTGTTCATGTTGCTGTTACAGTGTAGACCTCTTGAAGCTGTGGTTATCTGTTTATGTGTGTCTTCTGCCCAATGGGCTGAGTTCTTAGTCCAGTGACTACATTTCGCATCTTATTCATCTTTGCATCCCACCTCATGGCAGCACCTGGCACATGGTTGGCACTTAATAATCCTGGATGAAATTAAATTCTAGGGATTTGTTCTTCCTTAATTTCATGCATTGTTCAAAGAGCTAAAATTTGGGGCTCTATTAATTTTGTTTGGGGCCCAGTTTGTCATGTAGGCAGCTGTAGTCAGAATGTGTAGTTTCATCCTTTCTTAATGCTGATTTATTTAATCCCTTTTAATATCCTATTTGAAGAGCTTCTGTATTGACATGAGAATTATATAGTCAACTAATTAGTAAAAGTATTAAAAGAGCCCTTTGGCACTGTTTAATCTACCCACTTCTGCCCTTAGCATTCTTGAGAGTACCATTCTGGTATTTCCTACCTGTTATTTTTGTAATTTGCTTCATCCAGATGCTGGAAATTCAGTTCAGTCAATTTAGTAATCACTTCTATTGCTGAAATAGGAGTGCCCAGAGTGTGCCCAGGTTAGGAAAGTGGTTGTGGCACATAGCCTGTGGGAGGAAGGCTCATACTATATTGGAATAGAAATAAGCAGAGGCTGCTTCAGGGTGCAAAGGAGAGGGAGCACTTCATTCAGTCCTGGAGAAGTGTTGAAGCCCTGCGGAGGTGTCAAGAAAGACATCAGGGGCATGTGATTCTTGACGAGTGACCCCCGTCATATGTGGAGATAAGCAGGCCCTGGGGAGAGGATTTTCCTGTCATAGATGGGCAAGAACAAAACTAAAGAGTTGAAGAACACTATGGTCTGAGTCTGAGTATGGGGTCACTGATTGGATTTGGGGAGGGTAGGTTGATGATGTTGAGCATCCATTCAAATCAGGGCTCAGGCAGCAACCTTAAAGGTCTTGGATTAGATGCCCAGATTTTATCTTGTCATTTAAAGGAAACAGCTTTTATAGCAACACTTTCCCTACTTGTATGGATTTCTCGTTTGGATTGCTGTAGTGTGGTGGTTACAGGAATGTGCTGTGGAGTCAGACTGCCTGGGTGTGAGTCCTTGCTCTTCTGCTTAATTGCTGTGGGACTGTGAGAAACTGTGCGGGACTATGAGAAACTATGCTCAGCTTCCTTATCGCTGATACAGAGATAATAGTGATACCTTCTCTATTAACATTGTTACAGAGATTAAATTATATTCTATGATGCATGGAAGGGCGGCTGGCACTCTGTGTCATCCATTTGTTAAACTAAAATACATTGCCATCATTAAATACACACTCATATTCTGATAAATCTCTGCTAGACCCAAAAATCAGTTAGCACCATGCAGAATGACAAATTTTGTTTTCAAAATCAGATAATTTTTGAAGTCAAGTTTTTTATGTGGTCTTCCTTTTATTGTTTGCTCATTTGTTTTACATTTTGAAAACAAAAAGTAGCTTTGCTCAGTGTTTCTCCCTGCTATACTGAAGGAATATGGATTTTTCTCAAGAAATTTTTAGTTTTTTAGAATTGAAGATGCAAGGAGTATGAGAAGTAAGACATGAGACTGGAAACTGCTGGTGATGGTGTTATATCTTTTCACCTGCTGCACAGGAAGAATTGAGAGGGAGAGTGACGAGAGATGTTTGCTTTCTGAGGTTCTCAAATCAGTATTTTATTGTAAGATAAAACAGAACAGATTTGTACTTTCTGATACTTAGATTCTGATTACAATTGTTCTAGCCCTTCATTGTTCCACAGCATACTGTCACATGCAAAGATTTTTTAAATAAATTCATTTAATGTTATTACCAGGTATCCACCCTGTAAAAATTTTACTTAGCTTTTTTTGTCTCTATTTAGTTGGCAAATATTCCAGAATGCTAGATTCTTGGGCCTTTAAAAGTTGTTATTCTTTTCTCTTTGAATATTCTGGAATCCTCCTAGCACCAGTCTTTGACACCTAATTCATTTAATATTTTCCTGAAACTGTATTTTGTTATTATCCAGTTACATAGACTAGAATATCAATAATACTTAAAATGTTTTTATTTTTGATTTTGGAGTCTCATTTTAAAAAACTATGTCAATTAGGCTTATTTTGGAAAGTAAATTTTTCATAAGCAGAATATTGGAATGCCATGCAAATCACTTTTTTTTTTTTGGTTGTCAAAATGGAAACACTTGATTTAATACAAAATGAAACTAAACAGAGAGGTCCCTAAGTTATTTCTTAAAAGTCAAAGATATTACTCTTGAATTCTTGATTTCTCTGTTTTCTGTATTTCCTTTCCCATAAAGATGGGTCAGCTCTGTAATTAGTGAAGGTACATGTCTGTCTTTAGGCAGTAGCCTAATCTCTATGGCCATATGTACAAAGCAGTATAATTACAATGTAGTATTAATTGGATCATGTGACTTTTTGTTTTAATTATTTTAAGTCATCTTGTCTTTCCATTCCTTAAAGCATGCTAATGAGTGAATCTTTGGGTACCATGTTTTATGTCATTTCTATGGAATTAAAAGATGTGCATATTTGCTTAAATTTGGTTTATAAATGTCTGTTCTTTTTTTTCATAATGCTGTACATGTATGTTTTTTGTCTCTCACATCAATTTAGACCTGAAGAAGTAAAATATTATAAAGAATCGAAAGTGTGCATTTTGCTTAATCTTTAGAACGAAATTGAATTTTAGATTTCTTTTGCTAAGGTGTCACTTAGCTGGTTGACAAAATATGTTGTTAAAAATATTTTAGATTTACTTCTTAATAAATTACAGATTTCTATTTCTTCTGTTTAATTTGATAGGAAATTTAGTGATGGGTATCTATTTTCACTATATACAAGTACTTGGCACACTGTATGTAGAAAGTGGCATTTATCTGTGTTCATATTTTAACTTTTGTCTTCTTATTTTTTTCAGTTGTTTTTATTTCAGTTGCTGCGAGGGCTGTCTTACATCCACCAGCGTTATATTTTGCACAGAGATCTGAAACCACAGAACCTTCTGATCAGTGACACGGGGGAGTTAAAGCTGGCAGATTTCGGTAGGAAAGCGGTTAATTACCAGTCTATTTTGTCACACTGTGAGAATGCCAGGCAGATGGTGGCACTGCATTTGTTTAGGTGCACTTCTTCTATCATTATAGATCATGGCGCAATTTTGGGGGGAGTAAAGGAATCTCTTTGATCAACCAAATGTTTGATAGATTTTTTTAAAAATTCAGATTGCTTGTCAGAGTCTTAATCATAAGCATAAATCATATTACATGTATTTCCAAAGGAAAAGTTAATAATTTTTTTTTGTTTTTGTTCTTTTTAGTTAATAAAATTTTAAGCATAAAATATATTCAAAGAAATCTAATTCTTTTCACATTTTATTATGAAATGTCAAACACACCGAAGAATAAGGTAGTATATATGCCCCCTTTATCCAGCTTCAACAATTTATATTGTCAGACTTGAGAAAACTGGAATTAAGCCTGGGCATCCAAAATATATTTAACAGTATATGTTGCCCTAAGACATTTTGGAAAAGAGTCAAAGTTTATTTCTTAAATCTCTCTCTTTTTTTGTTTAAAGCTAGGGGACAATGTTTTAACCTTTCTGGAAGTGACTTTTGTTTCACAAATTCTCAACAACCTCACAAAAGTTGATTCCAGTTTTAAAGTTGAGGTCCTGACTTGGGCCCATTATATCATCCCTTCTTTAAAAGTTTTCACCTTGACTTTTTTAGAATCTTTCCTCAGACGCTGTTCTGAGCACCCAAAAAGAAGGAAACTAATGTCCTTGCTCTCTTTCCTCCTGTCAAGACTGACATTTCTGCATCTCCCTGCTCACTGTCACACCACAGAGTGAGCTGATTCCCAGAACTGGGGACTGCTGATGGCACCAGGCTGGGCTGACAGTGCCTTGCCTCAATTATACTTGAATACATATTCTGATTAGAAATTTGTCCCATTAAGAGTGAAATGGAAATATTACCCTTGAGACATAAAGATGCCTGAGGTTCAGATATGCGCTTGGCTGAAATATGATTAACTTTTCCCACCCCACCCCCCAATAAATATAAGCGAGCAGGAAATGTTTTTTTCTTATTTCTAGGTTAGTAAAATGTTGAATACCTTTGGAATGTATCTACTTCAGTTTTGTTAGTGCTTTTTTTTTCTAAAATTAAAATAAAATGAAAGCATGAATAATGATTTATTACAATACTTGCTCTCAAGTATTGTAGTCACTTGTTCTCATCTAGCTTGGTAAATTAATAAAGCTCTGTAGTGTCTGCTATATTGTCAGATTTTAGCATCAGAATATTTGGCTAGATGTAAAGTCTTTCTATAACAGGGTTGAAAATAATGGAGAATAGATAGATTGAGGAGAGATTTGCAGTTGCTCATATTCAAGGTTATTGGTTTTTCTTGGAACATATTTTATAGTCTAGTATCAGTAAAATAAGAGTTTATAGTGATTTTCTTCTGGTGCGTTGGTATACCACAAGGTGTATGTTGGAGTAAATTACTGTATTGAACATTCAATTTTATTGAATGTGGTTTTCTTGTGTATTTGTGAAGTTGATTTTGTTTGTACAACCAATGGTATAAGAGTCACTGTAAGTACTTATTGGGGATTATTTTTTAATTTTTATGAAGGCATTTTTATTATAATAAGTAAGTTCATCTTCAAAGTTTTGTAGGGATCTTGAGAACTGACTTTATAATATTGGATACAGAAATAAATTGGCATATTAACTTCAGACAAATTAGAAATATTTTTTACAAAATCAGAAAAATTTAAAAGTGTGAACAAATAAGAGATAACAAGTGTTCACATTTTTGTTGTTTCTTTTTCCACTGCCTTTCTACTCCTCCTCTCTTCTCTTTTCGTGATTCTTCTACCTATTATAGGTCATCAAATAAGGAAGCATACTGTTTTATAAACTGTTTTCACATAAAATTTATCATGAACATGTTACTAAATATGAAAAAATAATTTGTAGCAGGTTAGATTTTTCCTTTAACAGCCAAAAAAATCTCATCTTTTTATACAATCCCTTGTCAATATTTTCGTTCTAATTGTTGTCTATTATGCACAGTCCTGTACTGAACATCTTTGTAGAGAAAGCTATTATGCAATATTGAGTTTTTGCACATTTAAGCATAAATGTGCCTTCCAACCTGACTGCTCTGCAGAAAGGTTATGCCATGTGCTTTCCTCATTGTCACGAACTAAATCTTCTTGCCTGGAACACACACTTGGCGTGCGTCCTTTGTACGGAGTGTAATGAGCGAGACTCATTCACCAACTGACAATTTCCCCCAATTAATTGTGCATTATTTTTGTCTTTTAATTTAAGACATGCAATTAACTGTGATTTACTGCTCTTGGGCACGTGTTTGTGTCTGAGATGAAGGAAACACAGTTGAAGCTTCAGAGAAGCAAGACAGTCAAAATAGGATGGTTCCAGGCAGCAGAATAATTAGTAAGTCTAGGTCTCAATTCAGAGTTTGATGTATGAAGAGCTTTAGAAAGAGTTTCTTTGTTCAACCTTCTTCTCTTATATGAAACATACCGTAAAATTTTTCATTATAAGAGACAAATGAAATCTGTGTAATTATTGTTCCCATATTGTAAATGCTGCTGCTTTTATTTGAAAAATATTTGGAAAGAGGGAGGAAACTGACAATTATTTCATTTGTTCTTTGTGTCAGACCTATGGAAATTCTTGTTTCAGTGTCTTTTAAACACGGTAAAATGCAATAATCTATATTTTGAGGAGACACATGTGATTCATAGTGTTAGGAACTTGCCCATGCTTAATTAATACATAGCTGGCTGCAAAGCTGAAATTCATATGTTTGACCCATATCCTTCAATCTCAAGTGTCCTGGGGGTTTAGATGTTTTACTTTATAGAGCTGCCTGGTGTTGATGCTTTATATGCATGTATAAGTGTGGTATGTATATATGTGGTTTTCTACGTACAACTACAAGTCTAATACCAATGTTATGAAAGTAGATTGCACTAATAGCAAAAAAACATGTATCATATAATTTAAAGAACATTTTTTCATTTAACTAATTCAGTAGTAATGAGTGAGTTCAGCCTTAGCTCTTTGGAGATATTACCTGATGAACAAGGTAAACCAGACAATAATGCATTTATAGGTTTAAGTGGAATGCATTTCCAAATTCCAGATGGTTAAAATGCTGTTACTATTTTTGCTTCTTGTAAGAAAAATCATAGTTAAGCATTTTGCTGAGACTTGTTTCCTTTCTGCATTTTGAATAGTGAAGTGTTCATGATTTAGAATTGTCAATGACTTTCCAGGTTTGTCCTATCTGAACACAGTAAAATAATAGAATTTTGTAGAGTTGCCTAGACTCATTTCTAAACAAGATTCATCTTTACATTATCTATGGTAAAATAACATTTCAAATCCCTTATCCAGCCTATGTTCTATCCTTTCTTACTCCTTTCGCTTTGACTGGAATCCTCTTCCTCCCAGTTCTCATGTGGTTGCTTCTTTCTCATCATACAAATCACAGATCATATGTCACCTGTTTAAAGAGACTTTCTTTCACCAAATAGAACCTTCCTCATTAATACCATTCAGTTTAACTTCATCAAGAGCACTAATAGCACACTGAAATGATATTGTTCATTTGCTTATGCTTATTTTTTTTTTTTTTGATTTTTGCATCTGCTACTTGCTTGTAAGCTCTATGAGAGTAAGGACATGGCCTCTCTTCCTCACTCTTATTTATTTGTGCTGTCTAGCACCATGTTAGGACCTAGTAGGTGCTCATAGTGGTTGAATGAATAAATTGATGCATGTCTGAATTGGGTATTAGTGTATAAACTAAAAGTTACCTGAATTTGCTAATTTTGGCTTGATTAGCTTTGGCAAACTAGAAGTTTACAAATTAATCTCTTCCAACTCAGCAGACCTTAAATGTACTGTTGTGGGGAGCAAAGTTGTGTTGAATCATTGAAGTAGGAGAGCTGAGAACTGGCTTGTGACTTTTAACAAATCATTCATCCCTCTGAACCCTAAGCTCCCCATCTGAAAATAAGAACATTCTAGGATCCTTTTTTCATTAGTTTTTTTCTTTCATTTAAATATTTTTAAATGAAACATTATAATATTTTGTAGGTTTTAAGTATACAGCATATTTTCATATCTGTATATGCTACATCATGTTTCTCAGTGTAATCTATAGATTCAATGCAATCCTTACCAAGGTTTTACCAGAATCCATTTTTTAATTTTATTTATATTATTTACATCATTTTTGATTTTTGTACAATGTATGCACTCATTAGTTTTTTATGCTATACATTTCTTTAGTTATTGATCTATAATAACCAAGTATTCATTGGTGGATAAAAATGAGTTCTTTGAATCTGGAATCAATGCTCTACTATCCCCCTACTTTTTTTATTATAGTTTCTGTAAGTTCAAATAAATGTGAGCCACACTTTTGTGCTGTGCATTAAGGTCATGTTAACAGCAAGTAGTTGAAGTTTGACAAATAAATACACAAATAAATTCACAGAAAAGTAATGTTCATTTGTATTGTAATAGTATGAAACTTAAAGGTATTTTTTTTCATGTAATATTAAAACAAAAATATGAATGTAGAATTGTGTCTTTCTGTAATTCCTGCAAGATGGTGGTGGTGTCATGTACATTTCCTAGCCATTCTTCCACTAATTTTAAGGGTCATGGCCTACCTACATGGGGAGGCAGCTGGGTTAAATTAGCCCCTGAAAAAAAGAGACTATAAGAACTCTGTAATATAAGCACTTAAGGTCTTGGCTTATTTTACTGATTTTCTAATGCAGAAACTAAGTTAAACTGTTCTGTGGTTTTAATCAAGTAAAATGGCACAAGTGTCTTTCCCACCAGAGATTAAAATATTACCTCCCTAATGTTGGTAGTTTCCTCCTCCAGGCTGTTTTTTTTGTCTCAATTTGAGAAGAAAATTATTGTAAATCACATTTTAGATTAATTTGCAGAATACCCTAGGGATGGAACTCCGCAAAG